GGTGCCACCAAAAGAGCTTTTAAAGGGTTTGATAAGGTTGATGGTAAAGAAATTGCTTGGTCTAAAACAGAGCTGACATATGAATTATACTGTCAAACAATTCTGAATAAGTTTAATGAAGGTGCTTTGTTGAAGTTGTTAGAACAGGAAATATACTAAAATGCTATGATTATTGGATTGATTCTTTCACTGGTATCCTTCACATGATTACCGAGCTTTTTACATCCGGAGATTTGATCGAGAGTGTACTCCAACAAACATAATCTTGTAGGTAACACCACGATCAAGAATCGGTAAAGACAGATTCTAAGCGCGTTGAATTATCTTGAGCACAATCTTAGTGTACCGATAATTCATTGTAATGTGAAGATTTTGAACATCTTTATTGATGGAAATTTGGGCACGGTTAAGCTAGGAGATTTTGGTGTCGCGCGTAAATTTGAGCTAGATAGAAGGCTAGCTCCTGTTGGTACCCCAGAAAGTCAGAAACTATGGCACCGGATGTTTTTGAAGCAGATTATAATGAGAAGATTGATATATTCTCATTTTGGATAACACTAGTACAAATAGTTACTAAAGAAAAATTGTAATGTGAACGCTACAACAAGAATCAGTTTTTTTTTTTTTTTTTTTTTTTTTTTTTTTTTTTTTTTTTTTTGGTGTGTGTTCCTCCCGGTTTCCTTTGGGCTAGTCCGGATTCGGCGATCAGTTCTGGGTGGTTAGGTTCTAGTCCACTTCCGGGTGTTGTTGCGGGGATCATACACGAGTCCTCCCTACCAAGTGTAGTTCCAATTACCACTACACCAACAACGAATTGGTGTATTTGAACATTATAGAGATAAGTATTTTTTCCTTAAAAATTTGAGTTTCATATTCAACGAAGAAATTAGTTTTTTTTTATTTTTATTTTTTTTTTAAACCAAGCTGCACGAAATTAGTGTTAGTACTAACAAAAATCGAACATTATAGAGATAGGTATTTTTTCCTTAAAAATTTGAGTTTCATTTTCAACAACGAAATTAGTGTTTTTTTTATTTATTTTATTTATTTTTTTATGCACCAAAAAATAAAAAATTATGTTTTTGTTTTTTTTTTAACCAAGCTGCACGGAATTAGTGTTAGTAGTAACAAAAATCTCAAAAAATAAAATAAAAATAAATAATATTGTCATGGACATAAAAAGCCATAATTCTGGCTTAACTTCATAGATTAACAAAATAATATCCATATTAATGAACAAGTAACAGTTTTTTCATATTACTAAAAATCCAAAGCAAAATTCCAAATCAAAAAACGAAAAAGTTTAATAAATTCTATTTTACTGTTCTAAACCCATGAATATCCCTCTTTAACCAAGAAGAATTGAAAAAACAAAGCTAGCTAATAAAACATTGTAAGAAAAATTTAGACAACGTCTTTGTAAAGTTAAACATTCGATTTCGTAATGTTATCTGGTGATGTTGTTGATCTTCTAATATTGCCTCCATGTCAATATTATCAAAACACTCTTCGGAACTCCCAGACCATGATGTATCAAATCGTTTGCTAAGGCTTTTTATGATCTCTTCGCCTCTTGTGTATCGCGCTGTTCGATCTCTTTCGGAACGGTTAACATCGTCTAGCTCGATCGAACCCATGAGCGCTATATTTATATTCGTTATAATTAGTGTTCCTTTTTTTTTCTTTAAACTCCTGTGATCTTTTTATGGAATATATAGCAAATATGTAAAGGATTGATGAATTTATATGCTACGGATCGGATCAAGTAGAGATAAGATAGGAAAATCATATGTAGTACTATCAAATTTTTATCTCTTTTGACTGACATCCAAAAAATTTATATTTGTGTACAAAAAAAAAAATTAATAAATAAATAAATAACTATTATCATATCATTGCACGACTAATTAGCCAGGACACGTGAGAGTGAGGTATAACTCAAGTGGTTAGAGCTTCCCTCCCGATTCCAAGAGATCCTGGGATCGATCCTCAAAAAAAAAAACCAGGACACGTTCTTTGTTTTTTTGAAAACTTAAGTATATAGGGTATGGAGTACCCTGATCCAACTATCCAGGAGTATATAATATTAACTCTCGCCATCCAAAGCACCTCATTCAGAGCCAGAGACTAACATTGTTTCAAGTAATGAACAAGAGTACTAATTCCGATTATAATTCTAGGATTTTATGGAAATGCCCAAGTTTCTCAAATTGAGAAACAAAATTTGTTTAAAATTTATTTCTCACATGACATTTTTGTAATTAAACCAACAACTTTATTCAATTGTGGAGCCCTCAATAATGAAAAAGTTGTTGATTTATTCATGAAAATGCCCCTATGTGAAACAAATTCCACTTTTTAAAAACAGGGAATTTCCCAGATTTTATATACTACCTCCTGATCATATTATATGCAGCTTTGGGGTATTATTTATGAGATATGAAAAATTCCAAAGTTGCATATAATACGATCCGGAGGTAGTATTATTTTGAGTCTCAATTAGATAGTATGCACTGATTACTATACTTTAGGCATTTTACTTGTTATTGATCTTCTTGCTAGTGTTGGGAGTTTATTTTGTTTGATTGATTGTTAGTTTGCAAGTGTTGGATTTGGATTAATGAACATTAAAGAGATAGGTAGTATTAGCATCTTTTGTGCAACAAAATCTTTGTTTTCATTCTTTAATTATGAGATAGGTAGGTATTTTTTGAGTTTCATAGTTACCCATTTCCACATACGTATAATCTTATTGAATAAATTGCCATTAAGAGACTGTTCTCTTCAACTTATTTTAGTTCCAACAATTTTAGTCCAGTTCTTAATTTTCTTCTCTTATAAAATATTCATTTCATTTAATCTGAACAGGTCCTAAAAAACACTCCGTAATCAACAACAAAATTAGTGTTAGTACTAACAAAAATCTTAATAATAAAAAAAATTGTCATAAATTATGTCATGGACATGAAAACCTAGAATTCTGGCTTAACTTCATAGATTAAAAAATAATACTCCCCTCGTTTCAATTTGTTAGTCCCATATACTATTTTGGGTGTTTCAAAAAGATCTACCAATATTGAATGTATTCCACTTTAAACTTACTTTTTATTTCCTATTTTATACATATTAAATTATAATTGATTAGATTAATGATAGTGAATTAATGACATGACTGTAAAAAAAGAATTTACTCCCTTGATTTATGCAATTATGGCTAATGTTTTACTAAAAAAATCAAAAAAATTAAATAATGCAACACTATTTATGAATTGTTTTTTTTACTTTAATGCTAGATTCCAAATATTCTCATTTTCTTATTTTATGTGATTGATTCCATATGAGACTATTATATTGAAACGGAGAGAGTATTAATATTAATGAACACGTAACAGTTTAATAAATTCTCTTTTATTGTTCTAAACCCGTGAATAAGCTAACTAATAAAACATTTTATGTTAGAAGATAAGTCTAATAAGTGAATGCCAATTATTGATTTGATTACACAATGCTCATATAGGTCAAAACACTTGTGAACTCATATGGCTCTATGTGAGTAATTATTGTATTATTAGTGTAACTCATGGCTATAAATACAATGTCATAGAAGTAAGAATACAATGATAACACTACAACAATTTCACCCATCTTCTTTCACTCTTTTACTCCTTTTAATCAAAACTTTTCTATCGGTAAATTCTTTAACACGTTATCAGCACCAGTTTTCAGTCAGGTATATTTATACCTACTTCTAAAAATTTATAACAAATAATACTATCTACTTCTAAATGTTTCGAGGAGTATGCTCTATAGTTGCCCATATTTGGGATCCTCTATAACAGAAACTCAAACATTTACTATATATACCTCAAAAACAACGGTGAAAGTTCTCTTACTTGTGAATTTACTACTATCATCTTTTGTTTATTCATGTTGATGTTTCTTTGTTTGATCCATGTTGATATTACATACTCATTTTACGTAAATTTTTACCTTAGTTATTATAATTGCTAAGTAGTAGCTTTGCATGCATATTATTATTAACTAGATTAACAAAAAGATGCAGCCTTTTATACTTATTATTTTTCTTACTTTTACATACTTTTTGTGTTTCTTTCCGTTTTCGAACCCATGATCTTTTATAGATATTAGGGCTCTCGGACCACTATGGCTTGCATTCCCAGTGTGATAACCTTTTACAATTATAAATATATATATATGGACCATAATTTTATGCCAGTACGTTAGACTATTATATGATATTTTTACAGTTGTACAGAACAATAACGGATAAACCTAGCTCTATAAAAGACGGATTTTTCCCCCAATTTCACCACAAATCCCTTATCCCTTCCCACTTTTTATCCAAAAATCACCTAAAATAAAAAAAAAATTTCACCCCCTTCTTCTCCGATATGTTCCCCGACGACGGAAACCAAAACACCCACAACTTCACTTTTGAGGAAGATTTAATGAAGATAAAACAATATTTCCTTCTAATTACGGCGCTTGTAATTTTATTAGTAGCAATATTAATTTTTGTCATTATGTATAAGTAAAACTCACTTATTTTGTCGTTTTAGTATATTAAAAGCTTGTTTTTGTTTTATTATGTATGTTTGTTGTTATTAATCATCATTGTATAATATTACCGTTATCATTATAATTATTGTTACTACTGTCATTGTTGTCGTTTTGCTATTTTTTTTGCAACTAACATGATTAATTTTTGTCTAATCATATAATTACTCACAATAATAAACCAAGGGGAGAAAAGACTATATTATTTATGGTTTATTATTATTAATTTAATTATCACGTGTCTTATTAACTTAATTATAAATATGGAAGAACTAAACATGTGAGTTGTACATATAATTTGTTATTATAAACTAATTATCACGAAATTTGTTGTAGCTAAAATGGGAGACCTTATGAAAAGACAGTTCAGCATCTTAGATTTATCTGGAAAGAAATTTCTGGAATGAAAATTGGACGCAATGATGAATTTGAAAGCTCAAGGCTTGGAGCACACTGTTAAAGAAAATAAAAGTCCCTCTGGTCAAACAACTGATACTACCACTTCTACAATGACTGTTGCAAAACCTGTTACTGAACAAGATAAGGCAAAAGCCTTAGTGTTGTTAAGGCATCATTTACATGAAGGCCTTAAAACTGAGTACATGATGGTTGAAGATCCCAAAGAATTATGGGATTGCCTTAATGAAAGATTTGGACACCACAAAAGGGTGCTCCTTCCTAAGGCATTATTTGACTGGACAAATTTACGGTTCCAGGATTTCAAATCTGTAATTGATTATAATTCAACCATACATGAGATAGTGTCTATATTGAGATACTGTGATCATCCAGTTTCGGATGAACAGATGATTGAAAAAACACTCACTACCTTTCATGCAAGTAACATACTGTTGCAAGAACAGTATCGTGAAAGAGGTTTTAAAAAGTTCAATGAATTAATGAGTGTATTGCTTGTTGCAGAACAAAATAGTGAACTTTTGTTGAAAAATCATAACCTGAGACCAACTGGGTCTTTGGCCACTCATCATGAGGCAAATGCAACAAATTCCTATCCACCCGAGTCAAATGCTATAAGAAGAGGTGGACGTGGAAATTACAATGGCCGTGGAAAAGGCCGTGGAAATTATCGCGGACGAGGCCGAGGACGTGGTAGAAACAATTTTCAAAGAAACAGTAATTTCAAAAATTTTGAAAAACAGAAGGGACAGTCATCTGGAAGCCACAAACAAACTCTTTCAAAAGGAAAAGACACATGTTACAGATGTGGCATGACAGGACATTGGGGACGTACTTGTCGTACGGCCAAACATTTGGTAGACCTTTACCAGGCTTCTGTAAAAGGAAAAGAAAAAAAATGCAGAAGCAAATTATGTTAATGAAAAAAATGCTCCATGTCCTACCCTTGATGTGTCCGATTTCTTCATGGACAATGCTGAAACTGGGAATGATTTCATTCTTGGAGAAAACAACAATGCTTAGGTTCCCCATCTACTAATGTAACATATGCTATGTTTTAATGTATTTTCTTAGTTCCCTGTATTTTAAATTTCTAGTCATGTACTTTAAATCTTTATCATCAATAAAAGTTTGTATGTTATTATTCTAAACTAATCTTAAATTTATTTTATGAAGATATGGATCTACCTGAAGTTAGTTCCGAATATCAATGCCTTTTGGACAGTGGAACAACACATACTATCTTAAAAGATAGAAAATATTTTTCACAACTAAAGTTGTTTCAAGCAAATGTAAACACCATTTCCGAGACAGCTAAATTAATTGAAGGATCTGGAAAGGCTTGTATAATGCTTCCAAATGGAACAAAATTAATAATCAATAATGCTTATATTCGAGTAAATCTCGAAGAAATCTCATAAGCTTTAAAGATGTACGCCAAAATGGCTATCATCTAGAAACAATGACGACAGATCAAAAAGAGTATATATGCCTCACGGCAGAAAAACATGGCAAGAAACATATATATGAGAAATTGCCAGCATACTCTTCGGGGTTATACCGTATAAACATACGACCCGTGGAAATCAATATGATATCTAACCAGAAGTTAGATGACAAACATTTGATTATTTTATGGCATGATCGTTTGGGACATCCAGCAACTGGGATGATGCAAAGAATAATAGCACATTCAGTTGGACATTCAATAAGAAATGTCAAAATTCCCCGATCAGATGAATTAATATGCTCTGCATGTTCACTTAGCAAATTAATAATAAGGCCATCTATGAAAAAAATTGCTACTGAATCTCCAAAATTCTTGGAAAGAATTCAGGGAGATATATGTGGGCCAATTAATCCAGCATGTGGACCATTTCGATATTTCATGGTTTTAATTGATGCCTCTACACGATGGTCACATGTTAGTCTACTTTCAAGTAGAAATGTTGTCTTAGCAAAATTACTTGCCCAAATCATCAAATTAAGAGCACAATTCCCAGATCATACAATAAAGAAAATAAGACTTGACAATGTTGGGGAATTTACATCCCAAACATTTAATGATTATTGTACGTCAATTGGAATTGATGTTGAACACCCAGTAGCTCATGTTCATACACAAAATGGTCTAGCTGAATCACTAATTAAGAGATTATAATTGATTGCAAGACCATTATTAATGAGGTCAAGATTGTCATCATCTACTTGGGGACATGCTATAATACATGCAGCAGCGCTAATTAGATTGAGACCTACAGCTTATCATAAATTCTCACCACTACTACTTGTTTGTGGTCGAGAACCAAGTATCTCACATCTAAAAATCTATGGTTGTGCTGTATATGTTCCCATTGCTCCACCCCAACGAACAAAAATGGGTCCACAAAGAAGGCTGGGAATTTATGTCGGGTTTGAATCCCCCTCTATAATTAAATACCTTGAACCATTGACTGGTGACTTATTTACGGCTAGATTTGCGGACTGTCACTTTAATGAAACAGTATTCCCAGCCTTAGGGGGAGAGAAAGTGGACCCACATAAGAAAGAAATTGAACTCATTTGGAATGCAACACAACTGTTGATGTTAGACCACGAACAAATATGTGTGAACAAGAAGTTAAGAAAATTGTTCATTTACAAAGTGTTGCAAAATCAATTGCCCGATGCATTTGTAGACACAAAGAAGGTGACAAAATCACATATACCAGCAGAAAATGCCCCTGCACGTATTGAAATCCCAACTGGTAATAAGGCCATAGAAAATGAATCTCAGGCACGCAGAAAGCGTGGAAGACCACTTGGTTCAAAAGATTCTAAGCCAAGGAAACTAAAAAGATTGGATGGAATAGAAAATGAGACTAATAATGTTCCCCCGTCAGAAGGTCAAGAAAGACCAAATGTGGATGAAAGTAAAGAAAATGATGATAATCCAAAAGGGGACGAACAAGAAGACAAGCCTACGGGGAATGAACAAGATGTTCAAAACATCGATAACAATGAAATTTCAATGAATTACGTCTCTACAAAAACTCAGTGGAATAGAAAAGATGTTATCGTTAATGAAACATTTGCAAATTCCATCGCAATCGACATCGTGTCTGATGAAAATGATGTTGAACCAAGAAATGTAGAAGAATGTCGACGTAGGAGTGATTGGCCAAAGTGGAAGGAGGCAATGCTGGCTGAGTTAAAGTCACTTGAAAAACGAGAAGTTTTTGGGAAAATAACCCTTACACCAGCAGGTGTAAAACCCGTTGGATACAAATGGGTATTTGTAAGAAAACGTAATGATAAAAATGAAATAGTTAGATACAAGCAAGACTTGTAGCCCAAGGATTTTCTCAAATTCCAGGGATTGATTATGAAGAAACATATTCTCCAGTGGTTGATGGAACTACATTAAGATTTCTGGTAAGTTTGACAGTCACAAAAGGACTGCAAATGCGATTAATGGATGTAGTGACTGCGTATTTGTATGGGTCACTCGATACGGACATTTACATGAAAGTCTCCGAAGGACTAAAACTACCAGAAAACCACAAGCCTAGACAATTGCTTTCCATAAAACTAAAAAGGTCACTTTATGGATTGAAACAATCTGGAAGGATGTGGTACAACCGTCTGAGTGAATACCTTATGAGAGAAGGATTCAAAAACAACCAAGTTAGTCCCTGTGTTTTCATAAAGCGATCACAATCAGGATTCGCTATCATTGCAGTTTATGTTGATGATTTAAATATCATCGGAACCCCAAATGAACTCGAGAAAACTGCAAAATACTTGATGAAAGAATTTGAGATGAAAGACCTTGGGAAAACTAAATTTTGCCTTGGACTACAAATTGAGCACTTGAGTCATGGCATTTTTGTCCATCAATCAAACTATACAGAAAGAGTTTTGAAACGTTTCTTCATGGACAAAGCAACCCCAACCAACTTCCCAATGGTTGTTCGTTCTTTGAATATGAAAAATGATCCATTCAGACCCCGAGAAGAAAATGAAGAGATTCTGGGTCCAAAAGTACCATACTTAAGTGCAATTGGAGCCTTAATGTACTTAGCTAACAATACTAGACCCGACATAGCTTTCTCTGTGAATTTGTTAGCCAGGCACAGCAATGCACCAACATATAGGCATTGAAAGGGAGTTCGACACTTACTCCGGTACCTACGAGGGACACAAGACCTTGGTTTATATTACCAACCAAAACAAGATGCTGCTCTCATTGGGTATGCAGACGCTGGATACTTATCAGATCCTCAAAATGTCAAGTCACAAAATGGATATGTATTCACTTATGGCGGCACTGCAATATCATGGAAATGAACAAAGCAGACATTGACCACGACATCATCAAATCATGCAGAGTTGATAGCCCTCTATGAAGCAGGACGGGAATGTGTATGGCTAAGGTCGATGATCAGTAATATCCAAAAGGAGTGTGGAATGAACGCAATAACAGAAGACCCAACCATCATCTTTGAAGACAATACGGCATGTATCGCTCAAGTAACTGAAGGGTATATTAAGGGAGATAAAACGAAACATATTGCCCCAAAACTGTTCTTCACACATGATCTGCAAAAGGACGAGGAAATAAATATCCAGCAAATTCAGTCTTGTGAAAATCTTGCCGACCTTTTCACCAAATCACTTCCTTCGTAGAAATTTGAACAGTTAGTTCACAAAATCGGAATGCGACATCTTTGTGAACTATGCTGAGATCAGGGGGAGTATTATATATACTGCACTCTTTTTCCCTTCGATCAGGTTTTTATCCCACCGGGTTTTTTCCTGACAAGGTTTTTAACGAGGCAGTATACCAAAGCATATAATACAATAATATTGGTGTACTCTTTTGGCTATGGGTCTTATCCCATAAAGTTTTACCTAACAAGATTTTTAGTGGCATTCAAGGGGGAGTGTTAGAAGATAAGTCTAATAAGTGAATGCCAATTATTGATTTGATTACACAATGCTCATATAGGTCCAAACACTTGTGAACTCATATGGCTCTATGTGAGTAATTATTGTATTATTAGTGTAACTCATGGCTATAAATACAATGCCATAGAAGTAAGAATACAATGATAACACTACAACAATTTCACCCATCTTCTTTCACTCTTTTACTCCTTTTAATCAAAACTTTTCTATCGGTAAATTCTTTAACATTTTAAATTTTTTTTGAAAGGGTCTTTGTAAATTGTAATGTTACACATTCGATTTTGTAATGTTATAGGGGGATGTTGATGTTATTGATCTCTTTGATCTTTTAATTCTTTACATATCTTTAGAGCCTCAATCTTGATTGCCTCCTTGTCGAGATTATCAAATCGCTTGTTAAGGCTGTTTATGATCAGGTCGCGGATTGTGTTTCGCTTTTCTCGATCTCTTTCGAAACGGTTGACATCGTCAAGCTCGATCGAACCCATGACAGTTATGAGTTCGTTCAGCCACACAAAGTAGATAAAAGTTGTATTTATAATCGTAATAGTTAGTGTTTTGTTTTTTTTTTAACTCCTGTGAATGTTTTATGGTATATATATATTACAAATATGTAAAGGAATGATGAATTTACATGCTAGAAAGTAGTCAAGTTTTTTTTTTTAATTTTTTTTTTTAAAAGAAGAGAGTAGTCAAGTTTTAGATATAGGAAAATCATACTATAAAATTTATCTCTTTATGTGTCAAAAACAAAAAAATAATCTCTTTTGACCTCCATCCTTAAAACCAAGAGTTAGTTATGTACATTCGGGTAATTTGCTCATTATTTTTTGCTCATTTAATAAATGAGCAAAAAAATTTACTCAATTTTTAAAATGAGCAAAAATTAAAGAGCAAATAATCCGAATGTATATAGCAAATTCTACTAAAAAACCTATCTATTAATATCATAGTATTATATTGCGCCACATAGAAAACGATTAATTATCAATATAACACCCGATTATTTGACTATATTTTTTATAGGGTAAAAAGTTGAATTATTTTATTAGAATTGTATACGTAAAAGTTGA